AGAATGTTCTTTTGCTTAAGGTGTAGAGTGTTTTTTTTTTTACTTTATTGGAATTACTTTCCTTTAAAAAAATAAATGGTGATGCATGTTTTCTCCTTAAAAACCTCGATGGCAGGAAAAAGCAAAGGGTGAAAATCACGTTAAAATGGTCCCACATCAACATCATCACAGGAGGCAGCATTATGGATCTACTCACATTAATGTTCTAAAATAAGCATTAATTGGGTTTTAAATTCATCCGAGTGAAACACAAACAGGAATGAGAGAACGGCAGCTTGATTCTAGAGGTTTGGTTAAGAGCTAAATAATAATAAATAAAATAAAGAAATAACCTTAACCCTTTAAAGCCCGATCCAAGAATAAAACAAAACAGAAAATTACTTTTTTTTTTTGTTTGAAGTCCTTATTTGGCCTTTTAACAAAATATGATAAAAAGAAAAAAACAGAAATACATTTTTGATATTAATAATTTATTACTATGCGATAAGTCAAGACTATTTTTTGTGTAGTCTTCTACTGGCTGTTATCAGGTATATCTGATTGTGTACAATATGATTTTGAGCAAAGTTTTTACCATTAAATTATGCAAAAGGTGTCAGACGCAAAACATTTCAGAAACCGTATGTATCAAATACGATACATTTGGCATTACAGGGTTAAATCTATCCTGAAAAGTGTTGAAAATGGGGAAAAACGAGTTCAAACTGTTTAACAGAAACATCCATCTAGTAGCTATAAATGTGGATTAAAACCAGTGACACGGTTTAGGCTTGACTTTAGGTTTGCGTAATGAGAGAGCAACGCGTTGACGCGGCGAGTATACATGAAGAGGAAACGCAGCATCACAGACGGCCGCAGTGACACTGATGCTGTCCAGGGGGAGGCGGAACGGGGGAGGAGAGGGGGAGGCTCTCTGAAGCTGCAAGAAGACAGAAACTTTTCTTTAAGTGCAGAAATCCTCGTTCACTGGACAAGGAAGAGAACATAAAGCTAGTTTAATTCCCTCTGCCAGCTGCCGTTGAGCAACAGGCGGTACCAGATATCAATTTCTTCAAAGTCTTATTTCTAATAAAACATCTTACAGATATTATATTTCAATAAATCAATAAATCTGAGGTTTTCAAATCAGTTTAGAGAAATAAAAACTTTCTGTTTGGAATATTAGTTTTGATTAAATTTAATAAACAGATCTTAGAAGCTCTGGACAGTTTTTCAAAGAAAATTTGAATTCAAGTTTTAAAATGAGATAAAAAATACCAGAATTATGGTTCTAGGTCTATTCTTTCCCTAATGAGGTTGTAAATGATTTTAGTTTTTTCTTTATTTTTTTTCCACATTAATTAATATCCTATTGAATAAAATCCACCACTACTTTAAAATGTTTTGTATTTTTAAAACCTAAAAATAAAAAGTTGCTTGAAAATGGAAACAAGTTTCCTACAGCAGCTATTTAACAAAAATAATAAGTTGCGTTTAGTTAAAATGTCAAAACAATATTTACAACCCTTAACAAGCTTTATTTAAATGGATTTTGAGGGAAATTGCTGTTAGGATTTGAAACGCTGCTCAGCCCTGAGGTTGAAAGCTAGGATTTATTCTACCGTGGCGTTCCACAAGGATCCATTCTGGATCCATTATCGGTGTCCAGAATAAATAACCTGGAAAAGCACGTCCTGAATTCAGCTCTTCACGGCTATTCTTATGTCGGTATAATTTTATGTTCTGCATCCAGTCCAGCAAAACCTTTTGAGAATCAGAAAGTGGCCATAACAGGCTAAAATAGGTTCACTTTGGGTTAACTTAAACTTCTATTATATAAATCATTGCAAATTAACTTTAGTGTTTAACTGTGGTCGGAAAGTTTAGTTTCTCTTATTTCATATATTAATTTATGCTATTTACTCACTATAAAAGTTTTCACTCAGCCTGTTTCAACTTCAAGGCCAAACAATTCTCTGCAGGATGGTGTTTGTAGAGCAGACATAGCTTCTTCCCTAAACCAACCAGATTCTTTCTCAGATTTATTCATAACATGTTGCTGTTTAACCAAAGTGTCTGTAATTAGTTTTGATTCTGACTAATTTCCATTATTGTAATTAAGGAGGAACGAACGCTGTTCGGATCAGAACAGGGCTGATTACGATGCAATAAGGGCCGCATGATAAACTGTTCTCTCTTTGCAAAGATATGAAAATAAAACGCAGACTGAGTGAAATCCATCGATCTCCGTTTATTTAACTGGAGAAAATAGTTGAATATATTTTCCCAACTACAGTTAACTTAAACTTCTATTGCATAAAACATTGCAAATTAACTTTAAAAGGGGTCATAGAACACAAAACTGAGTTTCCACTGTCATAGATGAATAACGATAGTTCAGAGAAGTTCCAACCCATCAACTCCTCATTTCTCGGCAAATCTCACTATTCTAACCATCCTCCATAAAACGGGCGAATCCAAACCAAGCAACGAGTTCAGGGGGCGGCCGTGGTTGTTCACGGATGCTCGCGAGTCGGATAAATTATCCCGGATTTTAGACTTTAGATTTTGAAATTTTTTTAGGTCTGAAAGTAGGACATGTCTGGGAAAAAGAGGACGTCTGGTCCCCCTACCATATCAATGATGTTTCAGTGAGTGAGTGCTTGTTGCTATGATGCGTCTTTGCTCAGCAGCTTGGCTCGTTGTAAACCAACCAATCAGAGCACAGCTCATCTAAATATTCATGATCAAACCATAAAAGGAAGGAAACCTGTGGTTTCATTCTAGGGCTTTTAACCAGGCTGCATTAGGGCTCATAGAACAGCTAATATGCCATTTTCAGCCCAACCAATGTTACACACCCTATTAGAGACCTGAAGGACCAGATACCCTATAGAATCCTTCTATCACCCTATTAGAGACCTGAAGGACCAGATACCCTATAGAATCCTTCTATCACCCTATTAGAGACCTGAAGGACCAGATACCCTATAGAATCCTTCTATCACCCTATTAGAGACCTGAAGGACCAGATACCCCATAGAATCATTCTATCACCCTATTAGAGACCTGAAGGACCAGATACCCTATAGAATCATTCTATCGCCCTATCAGAGACCTGAAGGACCAGATACCCTATAGAATCCTTCTATCACCCTATTAGAGACCTGAAGGACCTGATACCCTATAGAATCATTCTATCGCCCTATTAGAGACCTGAAGGACCAGATACCCTATAGAATCCTTCTATCACCCTATTAGAGACCTGAAGGACCAGATACCCTATAGAATCCTTCTATCACCCTATTAGAGACCTGAAGGACCAGATACCCTATAGAATCATTCTATCGCCCTATTAGAGACCTGAAGGACCAGATACCCTATAGAATCATTCTATCACCCTATTAGAGACCTGAAGGACCAGATACCCTATAGAATCCTTCTATCACCCTATTAGAGACCTGAAGGACCAGATACCCTATAGAATCATTATATCACCCTATTAGAGACCTGAAGGACCAGATACCCTATAGAATCATTCTATCGCCCTATTAGAGACCTGAAGGACCAGATACCCTATAGAATCATTCTATCACCCTATTAGAGACCTGAAGGACCAGATACCCTATAGAATCATTCTATCACCCTATTAGAGACCTGAAGGACCAGATACCCTATAGAATCATTCTATCGCCCTATTAGAGACCTGAAGGACCAGATACCCTATAGAATCATTCTATCACCCTATTAGAGACCTGAAGGACCAGATACCCTATAGAATCATTCTATCACCCTATTAGAGACCTGAAGGACCAGATACCCTATAGAATCATTCTATCACCCTATTAGAGACCTGAAGGACCAGATACCCTATAGAACCATTCTATCACCCTATTAGAGACCTGAAGGACCAGATACCCTATAGAATCATTCTATCACCCTATTAGAGACCTGAAGGACCAGATACCCTATAGAATCATTCTATCGCCCTATTAGAGACCTGAAGGACCAGATACCCTATAGAATCATTCTATCACCCTATTAGAGACCTGAAGGACCAGATACCCTATAGAATCATTCTATCACCCTATTAGAGACCTGAAGGACCAGATACCCTATAGAATCATTCTATCACCCTATTAGAGACCTGAAGGACCAGATACCCTATAGAATCATTCTATCGCCCTATTAGAGACCTGAAGGACCAGATACCCTATAGAATCATTCTATCACCCTATTAGAGACCTGAAGGACCAGATACCCTATAGAATCATTCTATCACCCTATTAGAGACCTGAAGGACCAGATACCCTATAGAATCATTCTATCACCCTATTAGAGACCTGAAGGACCAGATACCCGATAGGATCATTATTTCACTATTTAAATTCATCAATAAATTCACAAAGTTTTCATGTCATGTGTTCTTTATTTGCTAAATTCAGCCCTAAATGAAAGATTAAACTACTGAACCCAGAAGAGTTTCCTGGCCTTATTTTCCTTGCAAACGAGCTCTGTTATCTCAGGGGGTCAAAGTTAAATGAATTAAATAATCCAGAGCGTATAAACTTTTAGTTGAAGCAAAACTGGATTTATTTTTTCCTCCTGAGGACCAGTTTGACTCTATGGTTCTAATATCTCTGTGCAGGGAGTGTCTGTCTCAACCAGCAGTCTGATTCTATAAAACAATAAAATTATCCCAGCTGCTTTCATATCACCTCATTTTACTGTGAGGAGCGAGACTAAAACTGAGGCTTTGAACTAACCAAGGGAGAAAATAAAGGCGGAACTGTCAGTTAAAACTGTGACAATCTGGAAACAGGCCAGATATTCTGCCTAGAAGCTGCACAACCGGCTCTCTGACACATCTAGTAAATGTTTGCCTTCTTTTTTCCTAGAAAGCATCATATTTTACCTACCGTCTTAGATAACCTGAACGCCTCATCCCATTAGCGGATCAGCGGGGTGGTTAGTTTAGAGACCGCCGGAGAAAAGGAAAAAGTAACTTTAAACTTTCCCACCTGGTGCAGCGCTGTCAGCCCGTCTACGTTGGCGTGGTTGATGTCGGCTCCTTGTCGGAGCAGCGCCGCCACCTCCTCCCGGTCTCCGGCGGAGCAGGCGGCCATAAACACGGCGCCCTGTGCGAACTGCACTTTAGCCCGCCGCGTCCCAGAACTTCCCGTGCTTTTCCGGCCCTCCGACCCCGTCCGGTCCGTCTCCGAGCCCAGCCATCGCTGGAGCTGATCCTGCCGTCGCTGTTTGGCAGCTTCGGAGCGGGAATGGTCCGTGGCCGCCATCTTCCCCTGGTGTGTCTCCCCCGGTCAGCTCCAGCTCATGGTAGGAGGAGAAGCAGCGGCGGAGTGCGGTGTTTAGATTGAGCCTTCTCAGCCCCCCTCCGCCACCAGAACCAGCACCACCCAGGCTGCGCCACCTGGTGGACGAACTCTGGAAGTGAAACCGCAAACTTTGCCGAGAACTTCAGAAGCGTTGCCTTCAGGGACTGCTCGGAATTTAGAACTAACCACAGAAGCGCCTAAACGTCCTAGAATTTAACATCCGATAGGATAATTATCTTTCAACCGTTGATTAAACTGCTTTTCTGTTACATATATCAACAACTTTAACTGAATTACTTCATAAATATGAGGATAAATAAAAATGCACTTTGCGAGCTGTGAGACATAATTTTAAACCACCTCTTTAGTGAAAGCCTGAAATTGATTTTAATCTCCATTTTTAAGTATTTAACGTGAAATTTTCTCGATTTACTTATCCTGAGCTATCTCTATAGTTCTGCTGCTATAGGCTTAGACTGCTAGAGGACATAGGGACCCCTTTTTCATCATTCTGCTTCATTCTATCTCTATTCTCCCACTCTACAGAATCTGTTAGTTCAATCTCTAACGTTCTGCTCTCTGCTTTTTCTCATAGTAGCTTCATCTGGTCTGTTCCTGTTTGGCTGTGACTCCATCCTGGAGAGAAATATCAGCTGTGCTGCTGCCATCAACACCTTTGTTTCTAGATGTTGGAGCTTGGCCTGTTTTCCAGTGTGGTCCTGTTTCTCTGACTGTGACTAACTGGATGTGCTCTCTTCATCCTCTGACATGGGAGCTGGCTCGGAGCTCGTCTGCCTGGCTGTGTGTTTCCTGGACGGGGCCGCCTGTGGAGCTGGTTGACAGTTGCCTTTTGTATCTATGCTTCTTTTTCTATGTCTGCTTCTGTCTCCTTGAACCCCAGTGGGCCTCAGCAGATGGCCGCTCACACTGAGCCTGGTTCTGCTGGAGGTTTCTTCCTGTTCAAAGGGAGTTTTTCCTCTCCACTGTCGCTACAAGCATGCTTAGTGTGAGGGATTGCTGAAGATTGCTTTGTAAATTTTTAAACGTTAACATTTGAGGGGTTTTTTTGTTGATGAATGTTGGTTGCTATAGTTTAAATTAATACATGTACAGCTTGTGTTTTACCTTAATGATTGATGTTCTTATTTTATTTTTTACCTTATCAGATTTGTAACACTGATTGCAATAATCATAAAGAACTTTTTATTATGGCTGAATCAAGTTAAGTTTCCCACGGTTGAAATTCTACAAAGACAAAAAAAAAAAATCTCCTTTTAAGAATCCTTTGCAATCTGATTGATATTATATATGAATAATATTTAATATTAATCAGTCAAAAATGAATGAAATGGCTGAATAATCCTATACTACTGTATCTGTAACACAATATCAGAAACGTTTTATGTTTTGATTAATAATTTAAAGCTTAAAACAAAAACAAAAAGCTGATTATGTATATTTGAATTTTTAGGAATGTAGTTTAGTTTTAGGAAATATGAGCACCAAATAAGTTTTTAAAATTTAAACTTGCTTTATACTTCTCTAATTTTCTTTTGTTTGGGTGTTCACTGATTCACATTCCTTTCTTAATTTTTTATTTTTTTACAGAAGGTTTGAACTTTCATGGCTCAAAACTTTTAATATTATAACTATTCCATCTTATCAAAAATAAAACCAAAGAAAACAACAAAGAAAAGGAAGGAAATGAAGAAAAACGATACACCAAGAAAACAAATACTTTGCATATTTTCTGCTTCCTCCCAAATTGCATTAATTTATTTGCAATTAAACAAAATATCAGCTCAGCAAAGAAAAATGTGCTTTGAATTTTTTTTCCAACAACCAAATTGCTAAAAAAACCCACAAATATTTAGAGTTGGGATCCAAACCTTTGGTGGTTTTAGAGGTCAGAGAAATTACATCCAGTCCAAACCTGTGAATAAAATAAATAAAACATCTGCCAACAATTTAATCTTATTTTCTATATTTCTAATTTTCTACTTCAATGTGACTCATTAGTTACAGTTCATATGTGTTCTGAGCCATATGCAGTGAAAGCAGCAGTTTTATAATAAACTGGGATGGTTTATGGTCTATGCATCTGCTGGGTCTGCTTGTCCACAGTAAGACTAAATGCTTGAGGAGTTCCAGTTTATTTCATGATCAAAAACTGTAAATATAATGACATCTGGTGACAATTTTAGAACATTACATTGAGGTTCATTAAAAGGAAGCAGACTGAACGTGATGCACAGAGCCTGGTTACAGAAGTAGATAATATGCAGCTCAGAAAAAAAATGGTGGCTTATAGATGACGTCGACAAAAAACACTGAAGATATCTGCAAGATTACATGAAAAATCATTTAAAAACACGTTTGGAAACGAGCGTGACCATCGAAAGTCTTTTCTTTTATACATATTAGTTAGTTTTATACATTTACATTATGACATTTATTATAAACAAATAAAGTAAGCCTTTTTTAAAGCATAGTGCATTGAAAATTGTGTCACAAAAATGGAGTAAATGCTAAAAACAAACCGACTCTAATGTGTTTCGTCCTGCACTTCCTGTGAGTAACTAAGCAGGAAAATGCTGCTTCACTTTGACTGTCTTCAACTTAAAACATCCACTTTTTTTTCTTTCTTTGTAACTTCCTGTAATTCAAGTTAAGCTCGACTGTGAACCTGTGCAAAGTGAAGTGTGCCTCTGTTGATGTAACACTTCCTGACTGCAAAAGCTAATGGCTTATTTCAGAGGCAGTCATTGGTGCAAATCGTCCAACACCCACTGAGTGAATAACAGCGCCTTCAAAATCTATTCTTAAAAATCTATTTTTAGATGTTGTAAACCAAGTCTCAGTTTAGTTTAACTTAAATTTATGAAGAATAAAACAGTTTAATGTATCTATAAACTGAAAGGAAAACAATATTTATTTTCTTTTTTAAGAGGATTTACTAATACAAATCTGCAAAGTGTGGCATGCATTTGATACAGAAGAGGATTAGGGCCACTGAAAAAATAAAAGATAGTTGAATGATTCTTTTATTTTATTTCATTTTAATATGCCAAACGTCAGAATTCTGAATTAATCTCAGAATTCTGACTTTAATCTAAAAATTCTGACTTTAATCTAAAAATTCTGACTTTAATCTCAGAATTCTGACTTTTTTCTCAGAATTCTGACTTTAATCTCAGAATTCTGATTTTTTTTTTCTTAAAAAAATGGAATTCTGAGACTTTTTTCCCATATTAAACTGAAACAATATTTAACTTAATTTTATTCTTTCAGTGGCCCTAATCCTCTTCTGTAATAATAATAATAATAATAATAATTTATGTACTCCCTAATGCATGTTCCAGACGGCAACATTGTCGTTGTATCATCAAATTGTGGCGGTTATTTTCTTTCACAGGGACAGTTTTTGTTTCTCTATGTGGTGAAATGAAAAAAGTGAAACCATGTGCCTTTTTTTTCCATTCAGTTATTCAGAAGCACAAGTTTAAATACTTTTCAAAGTCCTGCAGGACTGTTTCCAACCACTACACAGAGAAGTTGATGGCATTTTAAATGCAAAATCAACATTACAGCTTCAGTGGGAGTTTTCCACTATTCCTGAATCAGTCGTACGATCAGAGCAACAGCCTACCAAAAGCTCCTGGATCTGCTCATCGTTTTAGCAGGTTTCCCACTTTGAGGATTGTTGCAATAGCCTTTGCCTTCTGCAAAGTCTTGCAGGAAAAAGCTAGCCAGGCGGTTGGTGTGTGGGGGTATTGCTCCGGTTTTGAAGGAGCCTTGCAGGTCCATGTCGATGCAGAAAACCCCTGATAGCAGCCGGTTCTTGTATCGGTCAAAGACATCCTGCACTGAAGAACCGCCGCTGTTCATCCACAGAGGGAAGAGGCTGGTGGAGCTAGACTTGGATGGAAGGGACCGGTAATGGTGCAGCTCCAGGTGGCAGAACAGCCTATCAGAGCAGAGGAAAAGTCAGCTCAAATGTTTGGAAATAAACACACATTATAACTGCATCATAGGTTGTTTACTGTCTATCTCTAAAGTAAAACTAAATGTGCAGATAAGCACCAATTTGGTCATTTTTCTTCCCATCCTTTAATGGCTAAAATCTACTGAGATCCAGAGCTGCTAGCAGTAGCAGCCTTTTTCAGTGGGATGTATGCAGACATGTCAGAACACAACTATAGGCTATAACCTTAGGAAGGGGATTATTTACCGAGCAGATACATGCTGGGAAAAGTTTCTGGAAGCCTGACGGAGAATACGCTGCAGAATCTTCAGAATCTGCTCTCGAATCCAGCCCACATCCTCCTGCACATCTGGAAGCCACTCCAGAAGTCTGTAGAGAGAAGAGCTCATTATTATTCAGTCATGGAACGCTGGCTTTTACAGCGGATAGGAGAGTTTGCACAAAATCCATAAATGAAAGTAATGAATGTTTGAGTGGTTCTTTTAACGTGAGCTTCAGAGACTGTCGCCATGCCTCATGGTCTGCAGACAGGCTCAGCTGGGTGTCTCAGTCCAAGGTGATCTCAATAATAGACCTGAGTCTAAATCTGGGCTAAATTAAACCAGCTAGTCTTGTTTCTACAGATTGTGTCTCCGGAACAATCATAAGCTCAAATGTTCCCTTGTCTCCATTTCTAAAATGTGTCCAAAGTTCACCTGTAGCCTCGTGTTCATTGTGCAGAGAGACAGGAAGTGATGAATCACTGAATAAAAGTTAATGGGAACCTTCCTTTTTCCTCTCCCCTTCCTTAAATTTCCTTTCCCTCCTTCCCCCCCTCCCCCCCTCCCTTCCCCCCCTTCCCCCCCCCTTTCCCCCCCTCCCTCCCCCCTCCCTTCCTTCCCTCCCTTCCTTCCTCCCTCCTTCCCTTTCCTCCCCTTCCTTCCTTCCTTCCTTCCCCCCCTCCTCCCTTCCTTCCCTTCCCCTTCCCCTTTCCCTTCCCTTCCCTTTCCCCCCTCCCTCCCTCCCCTCCCTCCCTTCCTCCCCTCCCCCTTCCTTCCTTCCTTCCCCCCTCCTTCCTTCCTTTCCCCCCTTCCCCTTTCCCCCTTCCTTCCTTCCTTCCTTCCTCCCTTCCTTCCCTCCCTCCCTTCCTCCCTTCCCCTTCCTTCCTTCCTTCCTTCCTCCCTTCCTTCCTCCCTCCTCCCTCCCTTCCTCCCTTCCTTCCTTCCTTCCTTCCTTCCTCCCTCCCTTCCTCCCCTTTCCCTTTCCCTTTCCCTTTCCCTTTCCCTTCCTCCCTTCCTTCCTCCCTCCCTCCCTCCCTTTCCCCCCTTCCTTCCTTCCTTCCTCCCTCCTTCCTTCCTTCCTCCCTCCCTTCCTTCCTTCCTTCCTCCCTTTCCCCCCTTCCTTCCTTCCTTCCTCCCTCCCTTCCTTCCTTCCTTCCCTTCCTCCCTTCCTCCCTTCCTTCCTCCCTTCCTTCCTTCCTCCCTCCCTCCCTCCCTTCCTTCCTTCCTTCCTTCCTTCCTCCCTTCCTCCCTTCCTTCCTTCCTTCCTTCCTCCCTCCCTTCCTTCCTTCCTTCCTTCCTTCCTTCCTTCCTTCCTTCCTTCCTTCCTTCCTTCCTTCCTTCCTTCCTTCCTTCCTTCCTTCCTTCCTTCCTCCCTCCCTTCCTCCCTTCCTTCCTTCCTTCCTTCCTCCCTTCCTTCCTCCCTCCCTTCCTCCCTTCCTTCCTTCCTTCCTTCCTCCCTTCCTTCCTCCCTCCCTCCCTTCCTTCCTTCCTTCCTTCCTCCCTTCCTTCCTCCCTCCCTCCCTTCCTCCCTCCCTCCCTTCCTCCCTTCCTCCCTTCCTCCCTCCCTTCCTCCCTTCCTTCCTTCCTTCCTTCCTTCCTCCCTTCCTTCCTTCCTTCCTCCCTCCCTCCCTTCCTCCCTTCCTTCCTTCCTTCCTTCCTTCCTCCCTTCCTTCCTGCCTCCCTCCCTTCCTCCCTCCCTTCCTTCCTTCCTTCCTTCCTTCCTCCCTCCCTCCCTTCCTCCCTTCCTTCCTTCCTTCCTTCCTCCCTCCCTCCCTTCCTTCCTTCCTTCCTTCCTTCCTTCCTTCCTTCCTTCCTTCCTTCCTTCCTTCCTTCCTTCCTTCCTTCCTTCCTCCCCGTTGGGGTGAGGAAGTCCCGCCGTACCTGAGGGTCATGGACAGGGCCGACTCCAGAGGGAGGGTGTAGGGGAGCATCAGGGCGGAGGCCATTCTGACAGGGAGCAGGCTGCTCAGGGATTGAACCAGGCTCCTCCTCTCCATGCAGGCCTCAAGTAAAGCTGAAGGGGGCGCCAAAAACACACAATGAACTCTCAGTGGTTTTCTACTGATGTTAAGGAATTAAACATTTCTTAAAACTAAACTTTATCTTTAAACTAACTGGATCGTTTCTTTGCATAGACCTAGATGTTAAGCATTGTTCACACATTTTTAACAGCATGAATGTCACTTTTTTTTTTTAGGTAGACTAACATGGAAACAAAATATTAGCCTAAAAAGAATCTGTTTTTATTTGTGCTTTGGATTATTGTCCTGTTGAAAACCTTCTCTTTGCTGAAGGTTAAACCATCTACTCCAACCTCTCAACATCTGACTGAAGGACATTTATTAGGCTGCTTGCTAACAAGGCAGCAACCGTGATTCCTGCCATAAGCTGGAAACACATAGCAGGACTAATGTCACTGAAACAACATGAACATAGAGGGCTCTCCTCTCGTGTCTGCTGGAAAAGCATCAAATAAGACAAAGACTGAGCTATTTCATAAAATCAACAATTGATTGAGGCTTACAGACGCTTCACTCTGCACAAACTGTAAAGCATGGTGGTGGTAGTATTATACTGAGGGCCTGGTTCACCACTGAAGGTAATGGTGCGTTGCCCATGATGGGGCGGGGGAATAATAAAGAAAGAGACTAAATGTTGTGACTTTGGCAGGTTCAGGACTTTAACTTGGACATGGACCTGAAATGGCCCATGGGTGGGCGGGGGGGCTTTACCATCAGGCAGTACTAGGCAGTTGCTTAGGGCCCCAAGTTCCTGGGGACCCCATAAAACTCTGTTTCCATGTATGGTTAATACAAGTAATCCTTATTTGTTTTTGATAAAAAATCCTTTGGCTAAAATGCCATCAGAATGCTGATAATATTAAGTGTGTCTCAGCCCCCCCCCCCCCTTCAGTGTCCACCATATTGGATCAGTCCATTTGCTGCACATGTTCAGAAAGGTCCAAACAGACAGCAGCAAACCATTTGAAAACAAACCATGCAAAGAGCAGTGTTGCCAACTTAGCGCTTTAGTCGCTATATTTAGCCACTTTTCAGACCCCTCTAGCACCCTGATTTCTAAAAAGCTCCTAGCGCCAAATCTAGAGACTTTTTTCTGCTACTGGAGACTTTGGAGACAACATCTAAAAGCAGCGAACTCTGCTCTCCAGAGCGAGTAGATTGGTAACCCCGCCTCCTGCTCTCCTCTATCTTGTCTGCTGTCATGATTCATGCAGCTATTATTTCATCCAAATGAAAAATGGAGAACAGATAAGCAGATCATGGCTTGTCTACAGTGAAAAGAAGGACTGGGTTATTTACTTTGGCCTTTTTGGAAACACAGGAAGGAGCAATCAGCTAAGTGAGCTTAGTGCTTGGAAAAAATCTTTCATTCCTTTAGAGACAGCATGAAAAGTCAGCTGAGTACAAAACATAGAGAGGAAAACAAGAAGAAAAGGGACAAGAAGAGAGGGACACAACCTAGAACAGATAATGGATGTCTATTCTATTAACATTTCTACATCTGGAGAATGGGGCTGTTCTATGTGATGGCTTCTCCATACAGAGGGCCCCCTGCCTGTCTTTGCCTAGGGCCCCAAATTTCCTACATCCGTCCCTGCTCACCTGGTGATCTGGATGAAGCCGCAGGAGGCCGCAGCGTGCAGAGGCGTCCAGCCCTCATTGTCCCTGAGCAGCAACATGCAGAGTGCCTTTTATTCAGTTATTACTAGATATTTAAATCTAGATTTGACACTGAATGTGGAATCGTAAAGAAAATGAGTTCCAGATATTCTCATTTAAACCAGGGAAGTTTTAGGGTGTAAAATCCATCTGATCATCTCCAGTATAACGCGCTCATCCAGTCAATACAGTAATAAATTCCCTGCTAGCCTAGCAATAAAGAAAACACACCTGAATCTACTAGGACTGAAACAGTTAATCAGATTAATCGATTATTGAAATAATCATCAACAAATTTAGATATCCATCAATAGTTAACTGGAGAATAGAGACTGTAAAATACTTTAGCTGACAGAGCGACTTTGAGCAGGAATTATACCAAACCATGCAATGCAGTGAGATCCAAAAACTGTTTATTTAAAAGGCTGCATGTTTCAGAATTCATTTAATGTTTGCAAAATCTGATTTCAATGAAGCAAAAAAACAACAAAAATCAAACATTAAAGACTGCCTAAAAACTGTCAGAGAAAACTTTAAATGTGCTGTAGCAGCCTGTCAGTCAAACGCCAGCCGAATGGCAGCAGACTCCCAGCCACTGCAGTGACCCCCCTCTTGCATATTTGGGTCTGGGTCCCTGAGCAAGACCCTTAACCTAGAGTCCTGCAATGGGTCGGCTACCCGCGGGTCCCCGACGGGTCACCCGCTAAAATGCTCTTTTGCGGGTGAAAAATACATAAATAAAAATAAACGGGTCGGGCGGATATTTTCTTAGTGCAGGCGGGTAGTTGGTGATTTTTTTTTTATGCGTGTGTGTTGTTAAGAGAAGAAAGGCGCTGCTAAATAAAATAAATGTATTATTATTATGGACATCAGAAATGTTCTATTAATCAGGCACTGGGGTCCCCCTTGTTGTAGCTTAAAGCCCTGCTGGCAGTGTGGGCTTCCCTCCAAAAAGGCCACAGTCAGTGCATACACGTCTGCTGCAGTGTTAATGGCGCTGTTCTGCAGCGCAGTGTACTATAGCCTATTACTTGATGTGTTAACGTGTCGGGTTCGGTGTCATCCTAACGGGTTCGGGCGGGTGCGGTTGGTAAAACTCGACCCGTGCAGGACTCTACCTTAACCCCACAGTGCTCCCCGGACGCCGCACAATGGCAGCCCACTGCTCCCCAAGGGAATGGGTTAAATGCAGAGATAAATTTCTCCAATGTGAGATCAATAATGTTCAATTTATTTATTTTTTTTACTCCAACTCCCCCATTCACTGAATTACAGGGTCTGACCAGGAGATGGCGCTTCTCTTTAGATCCTAATGTCCACAAATCATGACAGAAAGAATATTTTAGATGTTTAAAAAGGAATTGTAGGGGACCAGCCAAGGACCAACCAAGGACCAGCCAAGGACCATCCAAGGACCAGCCAGGGACCAGCCAGGGACCAGCCAGGGACCAACCAAGGACCAGCCAAGGACCATCCAAGGACCAACCAAGGACCATCCAAGGACCAGCCAAGGACCAGCCAGGGAAAGTGGGTGAATGTTGAATGGCTACTGCTGCATGTATGGTTCTCTATAGCCGAGGTCAGTCCTCTAATGCTCCTCACCTTTGTGCACAGCGGGTGGAAGATACTCCATGATGTGATCATCTAGCGAGGAGCTGGCATGCAGCAGAGCTTTGGCCTCCACCTGTGGCTCCGCCTCTCGGTTTTTCTCTTCTCTCCTTTCATCGCCGGCCTTATTTTCCTCTCTGTTGACCAGCAACTGTCTGTCTGATTGAGGCCCTGTATAATTAAGCAATCCTGAAAATAAAGAAAAAGAAAATAAACATTGGGTCTGCTTGTTCATCCATCCATACAGGGTCCTCAAATCTCAGTTAAATTTTTTACTTAAAAAAGAAAACACCTTATATTAATCAAAGTATCCTGAAACCATGTTGGTTTGTTTGCACATTAATATCTACAGAGAGTAAGTTGAGCAAGAGCTTCCTATTGATCTGCTGACACGGTAACAGGAAGCACACCCTCTGATAGAGTATCTGCATGAAACGCTGTTTACAAACCAAACATTTATCGTCTTAAAGCAAAAAATAAGAAAATCAATGAGGCTAGATTTTAGTGGGATTTATTAAAAAGAGCTTTGAAGTTTTCTGCAGAATGAAGAAAGAAACTTACCATTTCTCTTTAAAAAATGCAGAGCATCCTTATATCCCTGCTTGCACATGGCCTTCATAACCTGTATTCAAACACACATCCTTATTAATCATCTCTCATGTTTCAGTGAAGCCCAGCATGCTGAGCATTTAAAAAAGGCCCAAATCCCTGAATGTGGCGTTAGTGAGAGTGAGTCCTACCATTGGATCAGGTGGAAAGAGAGCCCTAGAGACTCTGTAAAGGTTGGTGAGGGTGAACTGGATGCTTGTGTTGGTGAAGCGCAGCTCGTGGATGTTGGTGGAAGTGTCTCGAGGGCAGATGTCGCTCTCTCCAGAAAAGGGAGACACCGTGATGGTGTTTTTCAGCTCGTACTGCGGAAGGTTGTCCGAGATTCCTCCATCCACGTATCGCTGAACGAAGGCAGAGCAAACAGAGTCGGATCGATTAATGAACAACGTTTCCAGAAACTCAACTGAGGCAGAAAGCAAACAAGCTGTGACATCATTTCCTCCTGTATTGATGAAGACTTGTTTTTATCAAAAAATTATGAAATGTTTAAAGCTCCCAGCCAGACCTATCTGCCAAATCAATGAGACTCACTTTAGATATAGTCTTCCCCTCAACACCACAACAGTTTTCTCTGTTTGGTTTGCTATTTGTTGTTATTTAATCAGGATGATTTATCACAAGCTTCCACACAAACATCCTCCAGTGACATCACATAAGGCACGAGGAAAAGGATCAGTTGTTTTTTCACATCAGCTTCTATTTTCCATGTTTTTATCTCTTTATATTCATTCTTTCAACAAAAAAGGGGGGGGGGGTCAATATCAGAGGTGGAAGCTGGGTTCAAATAAATAGGCTATGATCTGCAGAAGCTCTGCTTAAGATATATAAGCATGAAGAAACGTAATAGCAGCACATAGATGATTTACTGACCAGATTAAAGAGTGATAGAATGATTCTATAGGGTATCTGGTCCTTCAGGTCTCTAATAGGGTGATAGAATGATTCTATAGGGTATCTGGTCCTTCAGGTCTCTAATAGGGTGATAGAATGATTCTATAGGGTATCTGGTCCTTCAGGTCTCTAATAGGGTTGTAGAATGATTCTATAGGGTATCTGGTCCTTTAGGTCTCTAATAGGGTGATAGAATGATTCTATAGGGTATCTGGTCCTTCAGGTCTCTAATAGGGTGATAGAATGATTCTATAGGGTATCTGGTCCTTCAGGTCTCTAATAGGGTCATGGAATGATTCTATAGGGTATCTGGTCCTTCAGGTCTCTAATAGGGCGATGGAATGATTCTATAGGGTATCTGGTCCTTCAGGTCTCTAATAGGGCGATGGAATGATTCTATAGGGTATCTGGTCCTTCAGGTCTCTAATAGGGCGATGGAATGATTCTATAGGGTATCTGGTCCTTCAGGTCTCTAATAGGGTGATAGAATGATTCTATAGGGTATCTGGTCCTTCAGGTCTCTAATAGGGTGATAGAATGATTCTATAGGGTATCTGGTCCTTCAGGTCTCTAATAGGGTGATAGAATGATTCTATAGGGTATCTGGTCCTTCAGGTCTCTAATAGGGTGATAGAAGGATTCTATAGGGTATCTGGTCCTTCAGGTCTCTAATAGGGTGATAGAATGATTCTATAGGGTATCTGGTCCTTCAGGTCTCTAATAGGGTGATAGAATGATTCTATAGGGTATCTGGTCCTTCAGGTCTCTATTAGGGTGATAGAATGATTCTATAGGGTATCTGGTCCTTCAGGTCTCTAATAGGGTGATAGAATGATTATATAGGGTATCTGGTCCTTCAGGTCTCTATTAGGGTGATAGAATGATTCTATAGGGTATCTGGTCCTTCAGGTGTCTAATAGGGTGATAGAATGATTCTATAGGGTATCTGGTCCTTCAGGTCTCTAATACGGTGATAGAATGATTCTATCGGGTATCTGGTCCTTCAGGTCTCTAATAGGGTGATAGAATGATTCTATAGGGTATCTGGTCCTTCAGGTCTCTAATAGGGTGATAGAATGATTCTCTAGGGTATCTGGTCCTTCAGGTCTCTAATAGGGTGATAGAATGATTCTATCGGGTATCTGGTCCTTCAGGTCTCTAATAGGGTGATAGAATGATTCTCTAGGGTATCTGGTCCTTCAGGTCTCTAATAGGGTGATAGAATGATTCTATAGGGTATCTGGTCCTTCAGGTCTCTAATAGGGTGATAGAATGATTCTATAGGGTATCTGGTCCTTCAGGTCTCTAATAGGGTGATAGAATGATTCTATAGGGTATCTGGTCCTTCAGGTCTCTAATAGGGTGATAGAATGATTCTATCTGGTATCTGGTCCTTCAGGTCTCTAATAGGGTGATAGAATGATTCTATAGGGTATCTGGTCCTTCAGGTCTCTAATAGGGTGATAGAATGATTCTCTAGGGTATCTGGTCCTTCAGGTCTCTAATAGGGTGATAGAATGATTCTATCGGGTATCTGGTCCTTCAGGTCTCTAATAGGGTGATAGAATGATTCTCTAGGGTATCTGGTCCTGCAGGTCTCTAATAGGGTGATAGAATGATTCTATAGGGTATCTGGTCCTTCAGGTCTCTAATAGGGTGATAGAATGATTCTATAGGGTATCTGGTCCTTCAGGTCTCTAATAGGGTGATAGAATAATTCTATAGGGTATCTGGTCCTTCAGGTCTCTAATAGGGTGATAGAATGATTCTATCGGGTATCTGGTCCTTCAGGTCTCTAATAGGGTGATAGAATGATTCTATAGGGTATCTGGTCCTTCAGGTCTCTAATAGGGTGATAGAATGATTCTATAGGGTATCTGGTCCTTCAGGTCTCTAATAGGGTGATAGAATGATTCTATAGGGTATCTGGTCCTTCAGGTCTCTAATAGGGTGATAGAATGATTCTCTAGGGTATCTGGTCCTTCAGGTCTCTAATAGGGTGATAGAATGATTCTATCGGGTATCTGGTCCTTCAGGTCTCTAATAGGGTGATAGAATGATTCTCTAGGGTATCTGGTCCTGCAGGTCTCTAATAGGGTGATAGAATGATTCTATAGGGTATCTGGTCCTTCAGGTCTCTAATAGGGTGATAGAATGATTCTATAGGGTATCTGGTCCTTCAGGTCTCTAATAGGGTGATAGAATAATTCTATAGGGTATCTGGTCCTTCAGGTCTCTAATAGGGTGATAGAATGATTCTATCGGGTATCTGGTCCTTCAGGTCTCTAATAGGGTGATAGAATGATTCTATAGGGTATCTGGTCCTTCAGGTCTCTAATAGGGTGATAGAATGATTCTATAGGGTATCTGGTCCTTCAGGTCTCTAATAGGGTGATAGAATGATTCTATAGGGTATCTGGTCCTTCAGGTCTCTAATAGGGTGATAGAATGATTCTATAGGGTATCTGGTCCTTCAGGTCTCTAATAGGGTGATAGAATGATTCTATAGGGTATCTGGTCCTTCAGGTCTCCAATAGGGTGATAGAATGATTCTATAGGGTATCTGGTCCTTCAGGTCTCTAATAGGGTGATAGAATGATTCTATAGGGTATCTGGTCCTTCAGGTCTCTAATAGGGTGATAGAATGATTCTATAGGGTATCTGGTCCTTCAGGTCTCTAATAGGGTGATAGAATGATTCTATAGGGTATCTGGTCCTTCAGGTCTCTAATAGGGTGATAGAATGATTCTATAGGGTATCTGGTCCTTCAGGTCTCTAATAGGGTGATAGAATGATTCTATAGGGTATCTGGTCCTTCAGGTCTCTAATAGGGTGATAGAATGATTCTATAGGGTATCTGGTCCTTCAGGTCTCCAATAGGGTGATAGAATGATTCTATAGGGTATCTGGTCCTTCAGGTCTCTAATAGGGTGATAGAATGATTCTATAGGGTATCTGGTCCTTCAGGTCTCTAATAGGGTGATAGAATGATTCTATAGGGTATCTGGTCCTTCAGGTCTCTAATAGGGTGTGTAACATTGGTTGGGCTGAAAATGGCATATTAGCTGTTCTATGAGCCCTAATGCAGCCTGGTTAAAAGCCCTAGAATGAAACCACAGCTTTCCTTCCTTTTATGGTTTGATCATGAATATTTAGATGAGCTGTGCTCTGATTGGTTGGTTTACAACGAGCCAAGCTGCTGAGCAAAGACGCATCATAGCAACAAGCACTCACTCACTGAAACATCATTGATATGGTAGGGGGACCAGACCTGGGGGGGAATTTCACAATCGTCTGGGATTTTGGTCGCCTCCAGTGCAGCAGAACCGAGCCGTCAGCTTCAGGGCTGGTCAGGGAACCCCGGCGGACAGGGGCAGGGAGCAAGCAGGGGATGGAGCGACAGAACCCGACCCGGTTGCCTGGACACCGGCGGCCTACCATACCGTCATCGGGTCAGGTTCGGTCGCTCTATCCCCCTGCTGGCTCCCTGCCCCCATCCTGACAGTTGGGGTTCGATTGCCCGGTCTGGTCCAGTCAGCGGCTCGCAAAACATTAAGAAATTGCATGCATGATTTTTTTGTTTGCAAAAACACGTTAGCACTGCTGATGTGGAATCTTTTAACCTTTAATTAAAGCTCTTCTGAATGGAAGTCCAAATATGTTAAAAGTTGCTTTTCCACCATCTTTCAAACTAATTCAATCTCTAACGTTCTGCTCTCTCTGCTGTTTCTCTGTTCCTGTTTGGCTGTGACTCCATCCTGGAGAGAAATATCAGCTGTGCTGCTGCCATCAACACCTTTGTTTCTAGATGTTGGAGCTTGGCCTGTTTTCCAGTGTAGTCCTGTTTCTCTGACTGTGACTAAATGGATGTGCTCTCTTCATCCTCTGACATGGGAGCTGGCTCGGAGCTCGTCTGCCTGGCTGTGTGTTTCCTGGACGGGGCCGCCTGAGGAGCTGGTTGACAGTTGCCTTTTGTATCTATGCTTCTTTTTCTATGTCTGCTTCTGTCTCCTTGAACCCCAGTGGGCCTCAGCAGATGGCCGCTCACACTGAGCCTGGTTCTGCTGGAGGTTTCTTCCTGTTCAAAGGGAGTTTTTCCTCTCCACTGTCGCTACAAGCATGCTTAGTGTGAGGGATTGCTGAAGAGTCAATGAGTCGATGCAATCAGCTGGTTTTCCTGAGATAGAAAACTTTGAATCAATCTGACTGGATGATCTGGTGAACTGGAAAGTGACCTGAGATGACATGATGGGAATTGGAGCTATAGAAATAAACTGAATAGAATTGAATGAATTCAAAGTGAATATCTGATCTCCTCAATCCAAATACTCAACAATCTATTTCCCTTTCTTTAGAACATTTTCTGTAAATCCCTGCAGAGGAAACCGTCACTTCTTACCCTGCTGTATGTTTTAATCTCAGGTTCATTGCAATAATTTTTGTCTTTAAACATTTGATGTTTAAACAAACTGACATCAGGATTTCAGTCATAGGAGGACACTGAATAAACGTGAATAAACATCCAAGGCCGCCTGATCACATTCTAGCTCTGCCACACTGTTGCCTCCAGCTCAGCACACACACTCCGTCATTGGTAAACTCTGAAATGCATCACAAAGGTCACATCAGGAAGGCGAGGCACGGCTGCTCAGTCATACTTCTCAGAAAGAAAACCTTTGCTCCAGAAACATGTCCAACAAAACAGAACAGAGCGAGGAACATTTTCCACCTCCCTCCTGAGGGGGACATTTCTGACGCTGGTGGGATTTTATAATCAGTGTTTACAGACGCGTGCCGTTACGAACCAACAGATTGAGAGGGGAGGGAGGGCCGCAGAGGGCACCGTTACTGGGAAAGAAAATGGACCAAAAGCAACAGAAACCAAAACAGAAACACTGAGATTTAAAAGAAGCCGCCTCGTCTTCTTGGAAAAATCCCATCGAGATTTCATTTCTAATATCATTACAGGGTTTATACAGGAATGATCATCTTCAACTTCATGCTTTTAGAAATTATTTTAACGCCATCAACAACTACCCATGACTTCCATAAATATATACAGTACAGATCAAAAGTTTGGACCTTCTCATTCTAAGAGTTTCTTTCTTCTGTAGATTCACACTGAAGGCATCAAAACTATGAATTAACTGAACATGTGGAATTATATACTTAACACTAAAACTGTGAAATAACTAAAAATATATTCTAGGTTCTTCAAATTAGCCTCCTTCAGCTTTGGTTACTGTTTGGCTCACTCTTTCATTCTCTTGATGAGCTTCCAGAGGCCGTCGCCTGAAATGGTTTTACTTCACAGGTGTCGTCTGTCAGGCTTAAAGGAATAGTACACCCAAAACATGATTAGCCTTCATTTTCTACTCACCCCCATGCTGAACAACACTCTGGAGTACTTTTTTGATATCTCAAATGCATCTAGAGATCTGGAAGGCATCTTGTTGTCTGCTGACATTCAAATAATGGAGGTCTATGGCGCCCGAGACAGAAAGGTCCATAAAAGTCCACAAAAAACGTGTCAATATTCCTCCATACTGCTCGTCCAATGTATTCCAAGTGTCCTGAGTGGGTAGCGTCCAGAATTTACTCGAAACGAAGTCATTTAGAATGTTTTTAGAGCATAAACAGTAGTTTATAGGATTTCCTGAAAGCGCGTTCACGAGCCTACGGAAGCCGGCAGACCAAACCAGATGAAAGTTCGCATTCAGCTCGGCAAAGAACTCATGCTCTTCCTCAACACTGAAGTCCTCAGACATTTTTCTTTCGTTGTTTCTTTCTTTGCACAGGTAAACAGCACATTTCTTCTTCTACGCTTGCATTATCGGCAGAGCAGACGCTGAATGCGCACTTTCATCTGGTTTGGTCTGCCGGCTTCCGTAGCGTCCTGAACGTGCAGGCTCGCGCTTTCAGGAAATCCTATACACTACTGTTTATGCTCTAAAAACATTCTAAATGACTTTGTTTCGAGTAAATTCTGGACGCTACCCACTCAGGACACTTGGAATACATTGGACGAGCAGTATGGAGGAATATTGACACGTTTTTGTGGACTTTTATGGACCTTTCTGCCTCGGGCGCCATAGACCTCCATTATTTGAATGTCAGCAGACAGCAAGAAGCCTCCCAGATCTCCAGATGCATTTGAGATATCAAAAAAGTACTCCAGAGTGTTGTTCAGCATGGGGGTGAGTAGAAAATGAAGGCTAATCATGTTTTGGGTGTACTATTCCTTTAATAGGTGGGATTTCCTGCCTTATAAATGGGGGTTGGGACCATCAGGTGTGATAGTCAGCTGATAGTCCAACTGAATAGACTGTTAGAATTTAGATTATGGCGAGAAAAAAGCAGCTAAGTAAAAAAAAATGAGCGGCCATCATTACTTTAAGAAATGAAGGTCAGTCAGTCCGAAAAATTGGTAAAACTTTGAACGTGTTCCCAAGTGCAGTCGCAAAAACCATCAAACGCTACGAAGAAACTGGCTGACATGAGGAGCGCCCCAGGAAAGGAAGACCAGGAGTCACCTCTGCTGCGGAGGAGAAGTTCAATCGAGTCACCAGCCTCAGAAATGACAGGTTACTAGCAGCTCAGATTAGAGAGCAGGTCAATGAAACACAGAGTTCTAGCAGCAGAAACATCTAGATCAACTGTTAACAGGAGACTCTATCAATCAGGCCTTCATGGTAGAAGAGCTGCTAGGAAACCGCTGCTAAGGCAACAAGCAGAGAGACTAGCTTTGGCTAAAGAACACCAGGAACGGACATTCGACCAGAGGAAATCTGATGAGTCCAGATTGGAGATCTTTGGTTCCAACCATCATGTCTTTGTGTGACGCAGAAAAGGTGAACGGATCGACTCTACATGCCTGGTTCCCACAGCGAAGCATGGAGGAGGAGGTGTGATGGTGTGGGGAAGCTTTGGTGGTTACACTGTTGGGGATTTATTCAAAATTGACATACTGAACCAGCATGGCTGCCATAGCATCCTGCAGCTCCATCCTAGTCCATCCGGTTTGGGTTTAGTTGGATTTTCCAGCCGGACAATGAGCCCAAACAGACCAGCAGGCTGTGGAAGGGCTATATGACCATGAAGGAGAGTGATAGGGTGCTGCCCCAGATGACCTGTTCTCCACCATCACCAGACCTGAACCCAGTCCAGATGGTTTGGGGAGAGCTGGACCACAGAGTGAAGCCAAAGGGCCAACAGCTGCTCAGCATCTCTGGGAACTCCTGCTGGAAACCCTTTCAGGCGACGGCCTCTGGAGCTCATCAATAGAATGAAAGAGTGAGCCAAGCTAAAGGAGGCTACTTACTTTGAAGAACCCAGAATATCAGACATATTCTTAGTTGTTTCACAGTTTTCTTGATAAGTATATAATTTCACATGCGTTAATTAATAGTTTTGATGCCTTCAGTGTGAATCTACAATTTTCATAGTCATTAAAAAATAAAGAAAACTGTTTGAATGAGAAGGAGTGTCCAAACTTCTGGTCTGTATATATATATATATCATGGGCGTAGGTTTGCATAGGGACCATAGGGACATGTCCCTACCAAAGTTTTGAACCGACCTAATTGTCCCGACCAATAATTGGATGTGAGCAACATGTTTATAATTTACAGCAGTAGTTGTTGCAGCAGTGGCTTCTTTTCCTCTCGCTGCTCCTCTGCCTGGTCTCTCCTGTCCCTTTCATGTAGCAGCGCATGGAACTGTGCTGTGCTGTTTAACTCCACTCTCATTGGTTGTTCTGCCTTAGGTTCCGCCTTCTCTCCCTCTGATTGGCTGTTTTCTAGTCCGCGTGTGCTTGGAGCACAACATTGAAAATTTATTCACACTAGAATGCAGCGGTTACTAAAATTAATATTAGGCAACAAAACTAGTCCCAATAAAAAAAATGAATATCATGTACACTAAAAAACAAAAACCTTTTTTTTTCTTTTATAAAACGAAATATTGTGAGTCAGCCAGGAGTTCTGAAGACTGTTGGAAAAATGGGCAAATAAAGGCTGTAAGCCATCAACATTTCTGATTCTTGGCCACAGCCAACAAAAAAAGAAAATGTGAGGGTTTCCTTTTTACCGATATTTAGTTGCTATTACTGTTTTCATTTTTTTGTTTTTCTTTTCACAATTTTGATATAATAACTGATCTAAGTGGGTTGCTCTGTGGGGAAAGGCACATTTTACATTTATATTACTGTATGTTTTAAAGTCTCTATACTCCAGTTAATGATGAATCACTTACTAAATTAGTTGACGATTATTGAAATAATCAATTAATACGATTCATTTTTTTCAGCCCCAGATTAAATACATGAAATGGGCGACACAGAGTAACTACAGCCCAGATGTTCCACTTTTATAGTGAAGTTAATATTTTAATGAATGTATTATTTTGCTTGCTAGAGAATAGTACGTAAAAATATAAGAGTGGGGTTTAACTCTGCACAATTCTATATCTTCAGAAGAAAATACTGTATTTACCTTCTCTTCTTAGTCATTCAAATGAAACCGTTTTCAAAGTGGAAAACAGTCCTAATTCCACATTCATCAGAGCCGGTGATACTTCAACATTGATAAACAGCATCTAATGAGTGTAGAGCTTATAACATTTTTATTAATGTAGCAAAATTATGCTTTTCTCTTTTAACAATGAATTCCTCTTATCAGTACGGATGCTCACATCGAGCATAAAAAAGGGCATGCAAATTGCATAGCACCAATGACACCAGACCAATAGTGTCCCCACCAAAGTTCAAATCAAACCTACGCCCTTGATATATATATATATATATATATATATATATATATATATATATATATATATATATATATATATATATTCCTCATCTGTAGCGTCGACAGGCTGCAGCCCTTCCCTGTATTCCTGTTTTTTCCAGCCTTTTTTGTTTAAATTTGCATTTTCCAATTCTCTAGCTTTTTCTCCGCCTCAAGCGTCTTTCCCGAACATACGGCTTTACGATCAACCGGAAGCAGTTCTGTGCAAATATACTGCGATATAATATATCTGATGAAATTGATATATTTAAATGCCACGCTAATCACATTTAATGAATTTTAATGCCAATTAAGGCCTTAACTTTAATAGTTTAATGACTTTTAATGACCTGCAACAACCCTGAATTAGAAGACCGGGTTAAATTTAGATTATTTTAGCTGAAAAACAGAAGAAAGACAAGAAGTGAGAAAAGGAAACCAGCCAATTTACTCACCACTCCTTGGAGTGTTGGAGGAATGAGGCCACAGTATACTGGGATGTAGGCACTGCAGACACAAGCCTGAAATGATAAATAACATAATGTGAAAATGACATTAGCTTCTGCTTAATTTATGAAATTATACAGTATTTATTGATCTTATGAGATTAGTTTTGCTGCTGTCAGTTGATTTAATCTTTCTATTTCCAATTCCAATCCAATCTTATTTGTTAAGCATTTATAAAAACAAACACAGCTGGACAGAAAAATAAAATAAAACATAAAACATTACAGATAAAAGAAAAAAACAGTGTTACACGCCCTATTCAGAGACCTGAAGGACCAGATAGCCAATAGAATCATTCTATCACCCATTTAAACTTAGATGATAAATACCTGCACCAACTCCTCCTTATTGTTGAAGTGAGACATCAGGACGTTTTCTCCGTCTGAGACTCGGGTCAGAGAGATTCCCAGTCGCCCGTTGGCCTGAAGGTGGCTGTCAGCAGGCAGAGTTCGCCTCAGAACATGGCGGACGATCTTCACCAAGTTAAAGGAGGGGTGCATCGGTCCCAGGAACCTCTTCCTCGCCTCCTTAGCGACCTCGATGATGCTGGCCCCGGCGTCTCCTGCAGGACACAGAAGAACTGTAGGACCAGCATGTCTCACTGGAGTCTCAATAAAATAAAGACTTATTGATGCAGCTTTATTTAGCAAAGGAGCTGAACAACATTAGGAAACAATCCAAATAAAAACCAATAAGTGATAATAACCGTCAACATTTAGCATTTTCTAAACTGAATTATTTGTTATGTTTAAATTATAACTTCTACCTTATAGTTTCAGCTGTTTCCACATTAGATCAGTTGAAGTCCAAAAACAAAATGATTCCCTCTGATAATATTTTTACATAACATGAAATAAATGACTTAAATTATTGAACCATTTATCATAACTTTTTCAAATGTGTATATTTAGAGTTAGAACAAGTGTATGGAGTCAGAAAGGGGTCAAAATGTTTGTAAACTTATAAATCTTAGGTAAAAATGAAAAAATATAAGTTTATATGGAATGTCAAATTTGTACCTTGTAATCTGAGAAACTAAAAAAGCAAACATAAAATAATAAGAAATTAATCTAAATTCTTTCCTTCAGCTTAAAAAATACAATAGTTTAATATTTGAATTACACTTTTCCCCATTTTATTTCTTTATTCCAGTTTGAGATTTTATATTTTGAGAAACAAATATCTCTCCTTCAGTTTTTTTTTTGTTTGTTTCAAATTTCTCTTTCAGTTCCAGGATTTTTTGTTACACTTTCAAATCTGTTTTTTTGTTGTTTTTTTTTGTTGAAAGTGTAAAAAAAAAATCCTGAAACTGAAAAACAAATTTGAAACAAAAAAAGAAAGTAATGGATTTGAAAATGAAAATATAACATCTACAACTGCAATAAAGATAAAAAAGTGTACAGGTAATTAAAATACTAAACTGAATTTAGATTAAATTCTAAATTATTTTATGTTTGATTTTTTTTTCATATTATAAGGTAAAAATTTCACATTAAATATCAACTTCCATTTTTTCTGTTCCAACTAAGATTTACAAGTTTAAAAATATTTTGGGCCCTCTCTGATTCCATACAAGCGAGACATATTGTTTAATAAAAATAATAAAATAAAGTAAAGAGGCTAAACATACAGGAGGAATTATGAGCGGTAAATACCCGTCAGTCTAAGTCACATTATTGCTCATATCAGCTTGATCCTAAGTTATAATAAAAGTTTGGTCCAAGTAATAAAAAGCTAATAATAATAGACAGTTATGATTAATAAACTGATGGATCCATTATTAATATTGCAGTGATGTGTTGGAATATAAAGAATGAGAAGATGAGACTTTTCATTTACTTTCCATATTAAACCTGGATGGACAAATCAAAAATTGTTTTTAAATAATCACATATATAGTTTTTACCAGTGGCAGTTCTAGACCAAATCTATTCATGAAATAAAAAACAGGGTAAGGGATTTATATATATATATATATATATATATATATATATATATATATATATATATATATATATATATATATATATATATATATATATATATATATATATATATATATATGTTTAATTAAAATTTTATGTCTTATTAGATAAAATTAGTTTTCTACAAAGTTTGAATTAGAACTCAAGAAAAACTGATAAATTCTGCTTTAAAAATTAGAGTTTTATTTTATTTGTTTTGAACAAAACAAAAACATTTAGCACCACTGCAGCTATCGCCTTATTGTTTTCAAATAATTAGTTGACCTGAATTAGTAAAGAATAAAAATGAAATAGATCCAAAGGACCAATCAGTAACCATGTCTGTTCCAGTATATCAGCATTAGAATTTCCTAAGTCTTCATTATAGGGGCCATAACAGGGGCCAGGACATGATCTACAGGGGCACTGGGCCCCGTTGGCCCTTGTCTAGAACCGGCCATGTCGTTTACAATGTTACTGTCAGATAACAGAAATCTGGATTTAATTTATTTTAAATCTAAAGGTCATTCTAAACTAGTTTATTTTCTAACTGGTTTTCCTGCAGTAACCAGTTAACAGGTCCACCTGGATCCACAGCAGACACCTACCGAGACACACTCCGGTGACCAGAGCGGTGGCGGTGAGGGCCCCGGCGGAGGCCCCATAGATGTGTCTGGCGTTGTCCACCAGGAAGGGCGCCTGTTCCCGCAGGCAGCTGGCCACGCCGACGTGGTAGATCCCCAGGAAGCCGCAGCCTGCGAACGAGATGTTCCACGGAGAGTCTAGCGGGAACATAGTGGCTCCCAGCTGGGCTCAGGAATACTGACAGCAGGTGCCGGTTATAAGGAGTTAAAACATCTTCATTCCCTTTACTGCCGTTAAAAACTTAGTTTGTTTGTTTTGAACCAGCTTCCTCAGAGATGCTGAAAGTTTACAAAAATACGCTAATTTCTAAAAAGTTATAAGAAAAAAATGAAGTAAAGCCGCTCAGAGCAGCTTAATAAATGTGTAGTAAACTTTGGAGCGATTGTTGTTATTTCACACGCTTTGATTACATAACAGAGGAGGAGGGTAAAGAGGCGGAGAGTTCGACCAATCAGGTTTTAGCAAGCAGGAACCTTTGACCAATCAGAATAGAACCAGGGTTTACTTCAACCAATCAGCTTCCTCATCGCTGATCTATCGGTGAAGTCAGTTCACGGTCACTTTTTCTGGCACCGCTTCTTTCCCCAGGGGGAACTCAGCGTTTTGTTTTGTTCAATAATAATGTTCCTCATCTTTTTATATATTTATATATATTTTAAAGACCCAAATGGATCTTATTTGTACATTGGTTTCGTAATAGGCCTATTTGTGACTTTGACCTGAAGGACTGTTTGTTATTATCCTGGAAATCTGGAATCTTCTGTTTACAGAATCAGTCTCTAAAACCACAATGTGTTAAATATGAACATTAATCTTCTTTCATAAAACTATAGTGAGATTTTCATTAGTGACTCAATAAAATATTCAGTTTATAACCTACCACTAACATAAATAGTTTGTTTAAAAATGTTTTTTTTTTTTTTTATCTAACGGATAGGTGCTTATTGATCATTTCCTTGAAAAAACTGTTCAGAGAATAAGATAACTCTGTTATTAAAGGTTAAATTCAAATACATCTAACCATAAAAGCTGCAGCAGCAACAGTTCTTGCTACTATAAATCAATTCTATTCAGTTTATTTCTATGTCACCAATTCACAACATCTCATCTCAGGTCACTTTCCAGTTCACCAGATCATCCAGTCAGATTGATTCAAAGTTTCTATCTAAGGAAAACCAGATGATTGCATCATTTCAGTTTCACTATAGCTCTGGTGAATTTCAATGGTGAAGTCCTCTGGAAATCTTCAATAATTGTTGTTGATTGCAGATGTGTCTAGTAGTTCCCATTGATTTAGCTTGTAAAGCGGGGAGAATGGCGCTAGGCTTACCGCACCGTGACGTCACTGCCGCAAGATGGCAGGAGGGAGGGGCTACTATATTCGGGCAAAAATGGCCGCTCACACTGAGCCTGGTTCTGCTGGAGGTTTCTTCCTGTTCAAAGGGAGTTTTTCCTCTCCACTGTCGCTACAAGCATGCTTAGTGTGAGGGATTGCTGAAGAGTCAATGAGTCGATGCAATCAGCTGGTTTTCCTTAGATAGAAAACTTTGAATCAATCTGACTGGATGATCTGGTGAACTGGAAAGTGACCTGAGATGACATGATGTGAATTGGAGCTATAGAAATAAACTGAATTGACAAAAATTATTATTTTTTTTACTGATTAATTAAATCACAGTGAACGTATTAGTTTTAGGCATAAATAATGATCCGTTGATTATTCCTGGCTGACCGGACTTTTCAAGGTTTTTATGGTTGTGACATTTTTTTCTTATCTACATATTACTTTAACCAGATATTTAGCTTCAGCTGTGCACAATACAAGCAAACACTTCTAAGTGAAAAATAATAGTGAACAAAAAAGAGTGATGTGATATTAGAGGGTTGTACGTTTGGAAGCATGTAGCTGTGTAGAAAAATAAATCTTGATAAAAACAGTTTCTTTGATCCCAAATAATCTTCTGTTTTCGGCTTAAAGTTAAATGATCATAAAATGTAAAAGTGTAATTAACTCTAAAACTTGTGCATCCAGTCAGATTTATTACAACTTTTGTTTAAAAAAGGTTCTGTTTTTATTTTTCTAAAAGGGAGACCACATAGAATGCATACATTTGTTTGCGCGAAAGTACTGAGGAAAAAAAATAAAAAATAAACAGCGCCATCTTGTGGCTAAATGAGAGCTTGCATCATCCAGACACGCTGGCGAATCAGTCCCGCTTTGAGTTGAAACTTTGGCGGCGTTACTCATTGTGCGCTTGTTTTATATATAGAAATAAACAGGGTACGGAAAGAGGGGCGGGGTCTTCAGTACCGCTGGCTCTTAATGCCTGCGATAAGCCCCGCTCTTACCGACAGAAGAGCTGACACATATCAAGCGCACCACAGTGACGCAGGTGCTGGGCTTCAAAAACCTTGTTAGAGCAGGAAGTTGTAGCGTCGCTCAGGTCCGTAACAAACATTTCTAGTTTTTATCATGTAAATCTAAGTTAATTAAGCTAAAGCACATTAAATTTAAACATAACCATAATCATTATTATATTATTTAGCGGAAGGTTTGGCTCACGCGAACCTACTAACAATGGCGGCGACAACAACGGTCAGCTTTTCTCCAGGAACATTTTATTGATCAGGAGTTTTATCCGTTTATCGCAGCGATATATTTTTCTGTCATCGGTCATGAACGATTAATAAATAATAAAACCTCTGGGACGCATTGCTGCGGCCGATCAGATGTCATTTCTGCTTCATTTATTTATGTTTTTATGGAGAGAAAGACTGATGAGGAAATCCTTCCCCGATGGCATCACCTGCTGCTCACCTGAAAAGCGCGTCAGAAGGTGGAGGTGTTGACGTCACAGCTGCTGTCCATGCCTGTATGGAGCCGGTAGATGGAGCGAGGAAAGCAGAGGCTGAAGCAGAGATGGAGCCCCCCTCCTCCTCCTCCACCACCGCCTCCTCCTCCTGCCTGTCTCTGACCCCCCCCCTGCCTCCCTCTGTGGAGCTCTCAGCTGTTCTGACAGACACCAGGCTGACCCTGGATGTGTACCTGGGAGGAGCGGCTGCCTTGCCCCTGCTATGGGGGTCTGTGGTGGAGCAGCTGAGGGGCCTCCAGTACCTGAGGTTGGGCTCTGAGGAGCAGGCTGGGCTCCTGGCTGCAGTGGAGCTCCTTCCCCAGCTGACAGAGCTTTGCTCCCTGGCCATCCGCGGTAACACTTCACCACATTACACTGATTTATCACATCATTTTAGTCAGGTAGATTCTACTAAAACCAAGACTTGCAGATCTGATGAATTGTGATTTGGTTGTTATATTATAATCAAATCTCACTCTGATCTTTTATGACTTTTTGATTCCTTCTTGTTTAAATGACATTAGGCCAGATACAAATGAAGGTAAATAGGATGAAATGCTGGTGAAGATTCTCAGCCATCCAGGTCATAGTCGTTACAAAAAAGTTAAAAACAATCCACTGGACTTTGTTTCCAAGTCTGAAGACGTTTCTCTTCCATCCAGGAAGATTTTTCTAATCAAAATATCAGAAATGGCTTTTTTAGAAGGATAGCTAGAATGTTATGAACTATTATGATTCCAGTCAGTGTCGCTAAGCGGCTGCCATGTTTCCCTTCTTTCTTAAAGGTCACCGCTTTCCTGACTCACAAGGCGACCCCCTGCCAGGCCTCCTCACCACGTTGCCAGATTCACTGTCATCTCTGTCTCACCTGAAACACCTGGATCTCTCCTTCAACCAGCTTACCTGTGTGCCACCATGCCTGCTCCGACTGCCGGCGCTTTCCGAGCTGCTTCTATGCCACAACCGCATCTCTGCTCTGCCTGACGATTTTGGCCAGTTATTGTCTCTAACCTACCTGTCCCTGAAGGGGAATCGGTTGCAGTCTGTCCCCCCCTGCGTGGGCCAGTTGAAAGTGCTACGTACGCTCGACATATCGGATAACATCCTCCATCACCTGCCTGATGAAATTGGTTCCTTGGGGGAGCTCGTTGAGTTGGAAATATCTCATAACAAGCTGCAGCAGCTGCCAGAGAGCATGGGTAAGGGGCTGGGTAAGGAGACGGGTAAGGGGCCGGGTAAGGAGCCAGGTAAGGGGACGGGTAAGGAGACGGGTAAGGGGCCGGGCAAGGAGCCAGGTAAGGGGACGGGTAAGGAGCCGGGTAAGGAGCCGGGTAAGGAGCTGGGTAAGGAGACGGGTAAGGGGCTGGGTAAGGAGACGGGTAAGGAGCCAGGTAAGGGGACGGGTAAGGAGACGGGTAAGGGGCCGGGTAAGGAGCCAGGTAAGGGGACGGGTAAGGAGCCGGGTAAGGAGCCGGGTAAGGAGCCGGGTAAGGAGCTGGGTAAGGAGACGGGTAAGGGGACGGGTAAGGAGACGGGTAAGGAGACGGGTAAGGGGATGGTTAAGGAGACGGGTAAGGGGCCGGGTAAGGAGCCAGGTAAGGGGACGGGTAAGGAGACGGGTAAGGGGCCGGGTAAGGGGACGGGTAAGGAGCCGGGTAAGGAGACGGGTAAGGGGACGGGTAAGGAGACGGGTAAGGGGATGGTTAAGGAGACGGGTAAGGGGACGGGTAAGGAGCCGGGTAAGGAGACGGGTAAGGGGACGGGTAAGGAGACGGGTAAGGGGACGGGTAAGGAGACGGGTAAGGGGATGGGTAAGTGGCCGGGTAAGGAGACGGGTAAGGGGACGGGTAAGGAGACGGGTAAGGGGACGGGTAAGGGGCTGGGTAAGGAGCCGGGTAAGGAGCCGGGTAAGGGGACGGGTAAGGGGCCGGGTAAGGGGACGGGTAAGGGGCCGGGTAAGGAGACGGGTAAGGGGCCGGGTAAGGAGCCGGGTAAGGAGCCGGGTAAGGAGACGGGTAAGGGGACGGGTAAGGAGACGGGTAAGGGGACGGGTAAGGAGACGGGTAAGGGGACGGGTAAGGAGCCGGGTAAGGAGACGGGTAAGGGGACGGGTAAGGAGACGGGTAAGGGGACGGGTAAGGAGACGGGTAAGGAGACGGGTAAGGGGATGGGTAAGTGGCCGGGTAAGGAGACGGGTAAGGGGACGGGTAAGGAGACGGGTAAGGGGATGGGTAAGTGGCCGGGTAAGGAGACGGGTAAGGAGACGGGTAAGGGGACGGGTAAGGAGACGGGTAAGGGGACGGGTAAGGAGACGGGTAAGGGGACGGGTAAGGAGCTGGGTAAGGGGCTGGGTAAGGAGCCGGGTAAGGAGCCGGGTAAGGGGACGGGTAAGGGGCCGGGTAAGGAGACGGGTAAGGGGACGGGTAAGGAGCCGGGTAAGGAGCCGGGTAAGGGGATGGGTAAGTGGCCGGGTAAGGAGACGGGTAAGGAGACGGGTAAGGGGACGGGTAAGGAGACGGGTAAGGGGACGGGTAAGGAGACGGGTA